TTTATAATTTTCCATATTATATTAATGGAACGATAGCCTGTTTACTAAAAAAGAAAATTAAGGAACACCATATTGATTTCAGTGTCAGAGCAAATTTTTGTACAGTGAGTCATTAATGTAGCTTAGCGTCATGTGTCCATTTCAAAAGAATTGGGCACCTCTGAGTGCTGATGTATTATTTCTTGGTAAAGAAAGTGTTCGAATGGAAAACCCTCAACTGATGCTTGGCATAACTGCGAATAAGCAGATACAATTTTGTAAATATATTTTTACCACGGAAATGGTGGCCTATGCTACATGAGCCTCCAGAAGAATGCAGAAGAAATCGGCCCCAAAGAAGTTAGCACTAATCAAATGCTAACTAATCAAATGCCTAAACTAAGGCAAACTGATAAAATGGGAGCACTTGTGAGTGCCCATGAGCCATCTGCAAGGAAAATGGGATGTGCCTGGAATGGGACAGCTTCTCAGAAAACCATACTGAAAAGAGAATCACTGGGAGGTGGACTGGAGCGCCCTCCTCCCCCCTTCTTTCCACAGTTTGTAAAGGAAAAATTGCTAGATGTTCTACTCTGTCAGGGAGTGAGGGGAAAGTGCACGGTTTGCTACCTTCCTCACTGGCTGAGGAATTCCGGGGGCAGACAAATCTGGACCTGCCCCGACTGGGGAACATTCCCCCCTCCTCCAGCTGTACTCTGGAGATGCAGCGACCTGGCTCCAAGATTCTGTGGTGAAAGAGAGCTGGGATACTCCTATCTCTCCTCGTCCCCCACCCCAGAACAATGATTCAAAGGAAGCATGCACATTTTCATTTTATTTTCCAAAAAAACAAAAATTAATTAAGTTAAGGACCTGAATGGTGTTTAGAATATCTTCTAGTTACTTTGTAGTCTATAACATTTTTCACTAATGGTCACTGTTATGATTTTCAGTTTAATTTCTGTGCTGCGATTGAACTGTGCAAATTTTTTTGATCAAGTGTAATCATTAAATCAGCTGCTTGTTGTGGCTGAGAATAGGGTTGCCAGGTGTCCAGTTTTGAACTGGACGGTCCAGTATTTGAGCTTTCTGGTCAGGAAACAAATTGAGAAAATATAAATGCAAAAATATAAATGTCCGGGATTTTCTAAATAAGATATAATGTAGATTGTGATGTAATGTCAAGTGTGTCCGGTATTTTTGTTGAAACCATCAGGCAACCCTCACTGAGAGTTAAAATACAGATGCCATGGCAGTGCCAAATATTGGAATACATTGGATCCTTGTTAAAAGGTTGCAACTAATCACTACAGTTCTGACTTATTATCTAAGCACCTCCTACTTTATAAATCACTGAGTGAGTAGGACAGGATGGGGTGGGGTGAGAGCGAGTAAGAGTATATGGTAGAGTAGGTATGAGAACTATGAAACATGAAGTGGTGGAGCAATTGTGTGGCACAAATTTAAAAATTGTTCATCCGTATTAGGTATTAGTTTCCAAATGTTATGAAGTATGCCTCTTACCAGTTCTAGGTATCCATACTCTAGAACAGTTGCAAAATAATTGCTACATCACTGAATAACAACACACATCCCATCTATATTCTAAATTTAGTTTAGTTTTTGTTTTATTTTGTTAAATCTCACCACATCACTGAAAAAAGTGGGTTCCAGTCTTGCCCTATCCACTGAACCACAAAATGTATATATCTGCTGGATATGCAGGCAGCAATAACCAACAAATACTGTCTCCAGAGCTGAGATCATGTTATCAGTGATGCCAGGGCCCAAAGATATTCAAACAAATTTCTAAACAAGCAGAATTTCTACACAGCAGCATTATTTCGGAATAATGTCAGTTATTCTGAAATAATGCAGTGCGCATCTACACAGCAAGCCTGTTTTTTCAAAATAAATTCAAAATAATGAGCTTCTTACTCTGACTCCTGTAATCCTCATTGTATGAGGAGTAAGGGAAGTCAGGGGAAAAGTGCTCTATTTCAAAATAACTGTTGTGTAGATTGTGCCAAAAGTCAAAATAAACTATTTTGACTGAAACTACGCAATTAACATAGCTCAAGTTGCATAGCTTATGTTGAGTTGAGCTCTGTTGTGTGGATGTGCACCCTCCTCCCCCCATGTTTTTCATATGGTGAGCAAGGACCAGTAGGGACTGAAGAGCTCACATTACTACCATTTTAAAATGGAAACCTCACCATTTTTATATTAAAAAAAATGCCATTAAAAATTTAACATTTGCTAGCACCTTCTAAACACAGGGCTCTGGTAATATCTAAACTAGTGAGCTTACAGTGGTACAGGTGTGTTGTAAGATTGCTCATGTAGCCACTCTGTGTCAATGGGAGAGCTCTCTCATTGACATAATAAAACCACCTCCATGAGTGGCGGTAGCTATGTTGGTGAGAGAAGCTCTCGAGACAATATGGTACTGTTCTCACAGGCGTTTCTGTGACATATCACTCAGGGAGTATTTTTTCACTCCCCTGAGGGACGTAAGTTGGACCGACAAAAGCGGTAAAGCAGACAAGACCTCAAACACTATAACGGTTTTCCTTTTTTTAGGGATAAAGACATAACCATGGTATCTGAGATGCCCTTTTTTGAAGATGATTGATAAATACTGACTTTTATAATGGTGACCACTCTCTATTGTTCTGAAAGTAAAGTGTGCGCTTTAGTTGTATATGACCAGATTCAAGCTTTGATGTATTGGAAAACATCAATTCATTCTTCCAAGAGTGACTCGGATAATAATAAATAAGTTGAATTCTCCCATCTACTGTAGTGGGCTTTCCTGGCCGAGACAGCTTTGTTGAATTTGGCTCATTGTTTTCAAATGTATCATTAAAAATAAATAGTAGATCCAGATCTGACAGGAGGGTCACAAATATTTGGACAGTTCAAATGAGAAGTCTTGAATGATCTTTAAACTAAGGCTTTACAGTAATAGATACAGTCTGTATCTATTTTACGTCATGAACAGTTTTATCTGGAAATAGGAGGACGATATCAGAAGATTTTTCCACTATGCTTTTAGTCCATAATTGCCCTTTGTGATAAAAATGCTTACAATTATAAACTTAAATGATGCAAGGTAGCCTGAGGACTTTGGGAAATCATTGACAAAGAGACTGGGAAATTACTTTTCCCTGTTGTGTGGGCTACTAATACTGACCTCTGGGAGTATAATTCCAAATCTCTTCTTTATCATGATACTAATGTTAGTGAGGCACTTTTTCCCTGATGACTGATAGCCAACAACTATGAAATGTATCTACTCTGGGGCTGGTTCATATCATCCTGGTTCGTGATATGTTTGGTGTGAGTTCTGGTGTGGGTGTGAGTTCATTTTCCTCTGTGAATGATGTCAGCATTCCAGTAGCCTATGTATGGTGTCTTGATATGCAGAATTTAGTAACTCGTATCTTGTATTAATCTGATTCCAGTTGACAGTTCCAAGCATTATTAGTAAGAGAAGAGGATGTGTGTATTATGTGTTTTAAAATTATTTTTTGAAAATATTGACAACTAAAACAACAGTTTGTAAAGTGTGATATTTTTCCAAAACTAATAGATTTCCGTCGCTGAATATACAGAATATTAGTCTGTTTATTGTGTTTAGGTGAAGTAATTATGTATCTCCATTGGGTGAGATAAATCAATATCAGCACAGAATTTCAAAATGAAATAATCTCATAAGAAAGGTATTGATTGCAAAGACTCTGATAATAATGGGAAACTCTGAACTAGGACATTTATGACACGATGTATTTCAAAGGGGTTAGGATTTCACCCTGTGTGTTGAAGTCATTAATAAAGTCAGACTTTCATACTGAATAATAAGAATCCCAGTGCTTAGTGTATTGGTTTTCAGACTTTTTACCAAGTATGTTTCTGGGTTTTGTAACAGCCTATAGTTTCCAACATTTGTGTATTCTTGTGCAGTCTCAGAATAGAGAAGGGTTTCCATCATTCTTGATCCCCCACTATGCAAAGGCCAACTTGGTACCTTGTGCAGTTTAGAGCAGCCTCAGTGGTCTAAGTTGCACTAGCTTGTAATAGCTCTCTGAGCATTTCTGAGCATAGATTTCTGAGCATTTTTTCATGCTCCCTATGTAAGGGAAAGCTTAGAGAGGGGGATATAAAAACAAAGACCACCACCTTTACAGCATTCAGTCATTCCTGCGCACTTAGAGGATCCCAAAAAGAAAAACTT